ATGCATAGCATTTCCTGACAGCTCAAATCTTTAATTAACTGGAGATGCCATCGTGGAAAGTTTGCTAGAGAAGAATGCTTGTGGTTTAATTAAAAAGAAAAAAAATCCTTTATAGGTACTGGAAGAGATCTGCTTATGTCTTTAATAGTGGCAAAAAGCCTGCAGGAACTCTTCCATTTCCCTTTCTGACTGCAGCAGTAGGTGAGGACGTGCAGAGCAATATCATCACCCAAGAGGAGAACCTGAGTGCTTCACAGCTTCATGTTTGACCCTCCAGTTTAAGCTGCATATGTAGGACAAGCTACAGTTCTGTTACCTCAGCAAGGAGAAGGAAAGGAGACAGCCAACTATAAAGTTTTTGCCTTTTTTTAAAAAATTCTAACTTACAATTCTCTTGGTGTTAGATCAGAGCTGTCTCTAACATTTGTGGTCTTCTCTAAGGGCACACAGGGAGAACATTGTTCACATACGCACTGGTCTGTTTTTTTTGGCTCCCATTGCAGCACAAAAGCAAAGACAGCGCTTACCTGCCACAAAAATGTGGAATACAGTTCATGGTATCTTCAACAGCCTTCATGGAAGCCTCTCTTTGAGACGGCAGGGCACTGCCTGAGGGGGCAGAGAGCCCTCACTGCTCTTCGCAACCCTGAGGGCTGTGTGTGACGGCAGCTGTGGCAGAGAACCACCAGTTCAGGACACACTTGCACCCTTACAGCAACTTACCACAGGGCCAAGGCACAGCGGTGTCAAGTGGTGCAGAGGTGGTGGACCCCCATGGCAAAGCAACAATCTGTCCTTGCTCCTGCGCAAAGGACTTGTTGGCTTCTCCCCTTCCTCTCCCCGCATTGACTGGATTAGGAACAGATCAAGTGACCCAGAGGCTTTTTAAACAGCTACAGATCTGAAAAGCAAATTTGGTTCTAGTATTAAATATACACCTGAAAAAGTCACTGACATGACTGTTCACATTCGAAGCACAGCTCCACCCCTAGACGAGTATCAAATGGTTTCTGAGTCATCTCTGGGAGCAGGTTGGGGCTGTTGGGGTGGTGCCTGAGCCAGGAGCATGTGCTGGCCTGCCCTCCTGGAGGCTCTGTATCCACGCTGCCACCTCAGCTGCTAGGTGACAAGGGACAGCTGGGCTCCTTCTGAAACATGCCAAACCTCAGAACTTGCCAAAGGAGCTATTTGGGAGCAGCGTGATGTGCTCTCCCTCCTCTCCTGGCCCTGCCCACAGCATGTTTAAATTCAGTGAGGGTAGCACACCCTCTTCCAGAAGTGGGAGAGAAACTTCTTAATGAGCTTCTTTCCCTGAGCCTGGAGCACAAACCCCATTGACCACTTATTGAAATCCATCACCCTGTATAACCACATATTACCACTCTGACCCTTTCAAAAGCTGATCTCTTATTTTTGAAAACAAACGTTTTTTCTGATATACCTGCTACTGCAAGCTGCAGCTCTTCCTGGGGAAGGTGCACTGCCATGAACAGCAGTGAGAGCTGGGCTGGCCCAAATCACTGACTACATCAGATCCTTCCCTGGCAGTGGAGCTCCGTGTCCCATAAGCCCCTTTTCAGCCAGAGCTCAGTGAGCCTGCTCCGCCTTAGAATAATTTCCCATGTTCAGTTGAGACTCCTCAGCATCCCAGCTCCGGGTAGATTTTGATCCTTTTCTCTGACCACTGCCTGAGTGTATCTGTTTAAGCCTGTTTCGGCTTTCCCAGAACAAACCACACAAGTATTTGTGATCCTCTCGGAAAAAAAGCATGTTTTTTCTCTATGGATGGAGCATAAGATGTGAACCAAACTCAAACCCAGGAGTAAAAACTGCACTGAGGCAGTACAAAGCTGGTTTGTAGACCTGGTGAGATTGGAGTCCCTTGAAATGTGCTTTACAGATGCCCTTGAAATAGCAAGGAGAGCTACTTTCCCATACCACCCTTTCCTTAGAGGACCCCAAAGGGGCCATGACCTGAAGCTGGGATTGTGAAGAGTCCCCTTTCCACTCAGAAATAATTTCCTATTTTGCTTTCATGAAACAATCACTTTCATCAGCTTTTCAATGCTGATATCAGCAATGCTACCCACCCATTTCTTAGACTGTTTTTTCTTTTTTTTCCCTGCCTCTGGCTGTACTGCCCTTAAATTCTTCTCTGTTAGAAACAGATAATATGTTATGGACCTCACTTGTGAAGCATCTGAGATTGGCAGATGAAAAATTAGAAAAATGGGAAAGATATGGGTCAATAATACAAGATTTTTTTATTGCCATGTTTTTAATGGAATTACAGTAGGATTTTTATATGAGTCTCTGAAAGTCTATGACTTCAAATAACTCTGAACCTCCAGATTTGTATTCTTGCCTTATTCTTGTTTAAATAGCCTTACCATCATCTGCTTGATATATTATCCGTCCCAGAACACAGGCACACAGTCAGGAGCAATATACTTCCTTGGAGACAGTGAACTCCTCGAATCTCTTGCCTCGTGGCAGGACAGCTGCACGGAATGGGGGTTTGCTCAGTATCCCCCTCCTCGCTGGAGTGGCAGCAGTGCCAGCAGTCAGGCCTTCTACCGTTCTTTGCCGGGCACAGCAGGTTATCCATCATGGCACCAAACCCTGCCAGTGAAGCTTTCTCTCAGCAGAGGGAGTTGTTTCTCAAGGTAATAAGAAACCATTATCTGATTGCATTTTTGTCAGGTATGTCCTATTTATTACCTTACCTGTAATCTAATTTGTAATGTATTTCTCTGATATTTTCTATACTTCCCCCCTATATTTTTTCATAACTTCCACTGAAAGTATGACCTACAAAAAAGACAAGGTTTTTTATCCACCAGTGATAATACCCTCCAGGTGCTTTTATCTGGAAAAGCTCTCCTGGCACAGAGGAAGGTTTGCTAGGAAAAGTTCAGCACCCTCTGCAAATGTGTTGGGGGAACCCTGAGTAACAGCAGCCAAGGTTGCTTTGTCCCAGGCCAGGAAAACACCAGCACCTATTTTCTACTTCGGGCAAGATAATCTTTTTGGTCAGAAAGCCATTCCTGAGCCAAAGGAGGTACGTGAGAGGCAACAACCAGTCTGACCAACAGCTGGGATGGGCACAAGGTAAGAAGACAACTACAAACCACATGAAAACCACCACTGATGTGCTTCAGCTGCTGAAACCTGCTCAGGTGTTCTACCTTAGCTGTCAGAAAAAAGCTGAGGCAACAGTTTGGGGAAGAGAGCAGCTCCTTTAGGTCCTAACTAGGGTGAGCAGAGATGTCTCATGCTGGCAGAGTGTGATGGTCTAGCTGCCCTGAATGTGGGGCTGAGGAACATTGATCAGCACAAGTGAACAATGGGAACAGGTTGCATTCTCAGGCTAGGGTGGGATTCCCATGTGGCATCAAGCTGGTGGCTCAGCAGGGCATGAGGGTTTTCTGCTCTCTTCCCACCTGGTTAATTCTGCTCCTGCCTGGCTGTGCTACCGCCAGTGTCGTAAAACAAAGTTCAGCCTAAGCCTGCCTGCTAGACCTGGATTTCCTTGTTCTGGTAAAGGTGTTTCAAAGTCACACAGCTTTAAAACAAAGAAAGAGAAATGTCCCTTCTTGTAGATGCTAATGAAATTTTTATCTGGGCATCTTTCTGTGAATGTTGGGCCTGAGAGGCATGGATTATGTTAGAGGAGAAAGGCTTATGGAGCCCTGGAAATAAATCAGAGGAGGACAGAGGATGAAGATCACAAATGATAAATTAGCAAGTGACAGAAAACAACTGCAGGAAATAATAAAACCAGGAGGAGTGTGTGGGAGAGGTTGTTTACAACATGTGCATCGGACTTTTCAGCATTTGACATCTTATCTCCATTTCATTCCATATGTTACTTTATGCAAGGTTTCCTGTTTTTATGGGGTTTGTTCTATAGTTTTTGTACTAACATGAATGGCTCACATCTGCTCCAACACTTAATTTATTCTCTAATGTCTTCTGCAAGGGTTTGCTCAGCTTGTGTAATATTTGTCAGTGGTAAGATCTCCGGAGCAGTGTCAGGGAGGTGAGCAGGGATAGCTGCATGAGGCAGCTCGTTTCTGGAGTCCTACTCTGTGGTGGATTTTTTTTTTTTTCCCCTTAGCAAGGTCTCTAATTCCCACTTTGGCTACCCTGTGTAGACAGGCCTGCTGTGCTGGGGCAGTGCATGGAACCAGCAAGAACACCCCATGGGACAGGGATGACAGCTGAGGACCATTCCTGAAGGAGACCACAGCCTGGCACCAAGCTGCTGCTGGCATACCAACAGCTGATGATTATGATTTTATTTTTTAAGTGTTCTTGACAGCTCCGGAGACTCACATCGTCTCTTCCAAATCCAGTAATTAAATTCCACCTACCTGAATTCCCCCTGCTGTTTCAATTGGTTAAATTAATCTTCCCATCATGTCTGAGCTTCCTCTGTGTGTTGTTGAACGGTGGCCTCCCCTCGCCCCGGAGCCGGGCGACGACCGGGACGGGGACCGGGACTGACCCAGGCCAACTTCGCAGCGGCGCAGCCCAGCCCCGCGCATCCTTTCGCGTGGAAGTGGCCCGGACCCACTCACGGTGCGTGGGAGAGAGATGGGCGTCCCCGATTACACTCACACATTCCCCCCCCCCCCCCCCCCCCCCCCCCCCCCCCCCCCCCCCCCCCCCCCCCCCATACACCTTTCCCCTCCGGCTCCATGTCTCCGTCCCCGGGAGCTGCCTCCCGGACAGGGAGCGGACAGGGCAGCAGCTGCTCCGCGGTTCCCCCGGGGGACCAGCCCGGCCGTCTGCCCGCCGCACCTTTCCCCGGCAAGCGGCTCGGGCTCCAGCCCCCCTCCTCCCGGCGCCTCCTCCTCCTCCTGTTCCTCCTCCCCTCCCCTCCCCTCCCCTGCAGAGCATGCACAGCCCGGGACTCGCATCGCCGGCTCCGAGGCGGGCGGGCGAGACCCTCCTCCCCGACTAGCCCCGCTCCCGCTGCCCCGGGAGGCGCCCGCGGCTCCCCCCTGCCTCCTGCCTGTCCCCGCGCCGGACTTTTCCCTCCTCCCGAGGATGAGGCGGCCGACGCGGCGGCTGGCGCTGTCTCTGATGGGGGTGCTCTGGCTCGCCGCCCTCCTCCTCTTCTTCTTCGGGGCGCGGAGGAAGTTGGAGGCGGCGGAGCCCGAGGGACACACGCCGGAGGTAAGAAAGGAAGGGTCGGCGGGGCCGGGGCTGCTCCGGCGGGACTCGGGCGCGATGCCGCCGCTGCCCGAGGAAGAAGTTCCCAGCGGTTTTCGGGACACCACACCCCCCTCCCCTCCCCCCCCCCCCCCCCCCCCCCCCCCCCCCCCCCCCCCTCCGTCGCTTTCCCCTTAAAGTTTGGTGCCGGCTCCGTGCCTGCGTGGGATGGGGGGGGCGTAGTCTGGCCCTTTCCATACCCTCCCAGTCGTGGCCCCCCCCGCTGCCCACGGTCTCGGACAGCGGCAGCCACAGCCGCCCTCCCGCCCTGCTCCATCGGGGGCTGTCGGGGCTCCCCCGACCGCGGGTGCCGCCGGCGGTGCCGACCCTCTGCCCCGCTGCCAACTCCGAGCATCCCTCCCTCCGGACCCTGGGGAGCGGGGACACCGGTGCGCCCCAAGGAAACGAAACGCGTGGTTTGTGTCCCGGGTGGGGAACCGGCGATTCCTTTCCCTCGTGGGTCACGCTATGTTTCCGAGCTCTGCCCCAAAGGAGAAGGGTGCGATCCTGTGCACGGGCTGGCCGAGTCCGGATAAACCGCTGCGGCTTTTCGTGGCTGGTTGTGGTGGAAGAACTAGGCACGGGCAGGATGCCCTGTGAGTCCCACCCTGGGTGGAAGGAGCGTGCGTTTGCACTCGCGCCTTTCTGTGTCGTGTTTGAGTCCCCGGAGTGCACAGGAGTGACAGCACGGGAGAGATGCGAAGAGCATCTCTCTCGACACAGTGAGTGCATCAGAGGAGTTTCGCTGCCCAGACGCTGCGAAAAGCAGGGGACCTGCGAGCAGCTTCCGCTGATCGAGATCCCTCTCGAGGTCCTGTGTCCTCTCCCAACGGCTGAGAGCTGCTGAGGGTTAGCCGAGGGTTAACTTTCCAAAGGACAAGGATTAAATGCTGCTCTTAGTTGTATTGTGTAAATCTTGAATTAGTTAATCTCGGTTAGAGCCCAGATCCTGAAAATACTCTGAGATTAGGGTTACTGTGGCAGAGTGCAAGCCCTCAGCCTCCTTTTTGCATGAGTGACACCCAACATTGTTTGGCTCATGACTTGTGACAGCTTTATGTGTTCGCCACATCTTTGTAGAGTCTCATATGTGTCTGTCACCTCTGCAACTGAATTAACGACCTGATTGGGGGAAAAAAAGTCAGAACTCATAAAGCTTACTTTGATTTTTTCATCTTGAGGAATTATTGGTTTTCCATGTTTTTTAAATAAAAATGATTGAAGAGAGTTTTTTTCAGGCTTTCAGAAATCTTTCAATCCTAGCAGAGGGGAATGAATCTATGCAATTTCAGGCCCAAAAATAAATAATAATATATACATTTATTTATTTATTTAAGCGGGGGAAAGGCAATAAGTCACTGAAAGCAGAGCTAGAGGACAAATGCTTTTCTTAACCATAACTAGGCTTTGGCAACAATAGGTTTCTGACAGAACTGCATTCTTAAAAATTGCAAAAGAGGATCTTCCCTGTGTGATGGGGGGCTCCTATATTCTCTTTGAAATGAACCTTGCTTCTTGGTTAGTACCAGCTGAATTGCTGCCATTTTGCAGCGTATTTGACTCTCTACTCCCATTCAAAGCTCCCCCCACCCCAGGGTGCAGGTTGCTTATGCTCTTAGGGGCCAGTCTTGGCTCCTACAGTAGGTGAACTTCTCCCATCAGACAGGATCGGGCCCTGAGTTTCGAAGCTGCAGCTGCCAAGTTGCCATAACTCCAGCAATTTGACTGCTTAAATTGCCTCTCCTTCATTTCTTCCAAATTTTCCATCAAAACAGTTTCATCCCCTTGAGATCCATAGAGTGCAGATTCTTTTTTGTTTTTTAATTCGTTGCATTTTTTGGCTTTGGAAACTGCTTTTGAGCAGTATGACTTATAAGTTCCTTATGAGCATGGGATGTGGTGTCATTTCAGTTAACACCTTTGAAAGGCTGCAGAGCTGACTTGGGTACAAGAGACAGGGATGCTGCAGTCCAGAGAGGAGCCTGGTGGTGTGTCCCATTGCCCTGGCCGGTGGGACTGGCTGCCACAGATGAAAACTTGAGCAGTTAAGAGTTGTCCTCCCAAATTCCTAGAGGAACAAGAGGAGGTGGAAGTTGCTAACAGCAGTGCAGACATTGTAACACGGCCACAGAGCAAATCCACATAAGCTTTCCAACGTGTTTCCCCCCACCACCTCGCTGCTTCTGCCTTCTCTCTCAGTTGAGCTGTATTTCTGTGAACATATGCACACCATATACCATGCCTCATGTAGATTTAACCTTTAGACTCTTCTTAGTTAGGCTCCAGTTGGTCATGCTGCCACCTGCCCATGCTTGTCTCCTGGCAGGGCTCACAGCACACATCCAGTGCTGGAAGGCCGGAGTGCCCAAGCTCCCGGCTGGCTGTGGCATGTTGGTGGCTTGCCAAGGGCCAACAGCAGAGCTGCTGCCCTTGGCTGTGCGGGTGCCCATCCATCACTGTTATTTTTGGTTCTTTTCCCCCCCTTCCTTTATCTCAAATCCTGTGCAAGATTCAGGCTTCAGCTTCCCAAAGGATGGCTTGTGATGCTTTTCTTATAGCTGAAGAACTCAGTGTTGGGGTGGGCAGGGTCTCCAAGGACCAGGACCTTGGCGTGAGGGCTCTGATGCAGTTTTTGAGTCCTTCCTGCACCAGAAACACACTGCTGACTTGTCATTTTGTGGTCACAGTGGAGGCAGGCATTTGGGGCAGGTCTAACACTACTTTGAGAGCTTTCCCAAGCTGCTTGTGCCTGAAGAGGTAGGCACAGCCCTCTGTTGTAATTCATTTAGTTCCACCTCCCCAGTTGGTTTGGTTTGGTTTGTTTTTTTCTGTATTCTCCTTTAATCCATCTCTGTGGATCTCTCACTGCTGCCCTGGTGGCAGGCAGGCTTAGAGGGCCCCCCTTTTTGCCAGCCCTTGCTCCCCTCAGTCCCTGTCACTTCCCTTCCCTCCTCCTCCTTCCTGCTGCCTGCAGCCGCTGGAGGTATGTGCCAGGGCAGTGGAAACAGGTTGAGGCTGGATTTTAGGGTGTGGGACTCCCTCGTGTGAGAGGAGTGTAGTAACCTTGCAGGACTGGTAGGGTATGGAAGAAAATCACTTGCAGTGTTTAGGACCATGAAATTGTTCCTGGGATGACTTCCCCAGTCCCTCTGGTGCTGTTTTTACTGCTGTCCCTTGAAGTTTGGGGATCGTGTTTTATTTATTTATTTTTTTTTTTTTTTGCTTTTCCAAAGGGAAGATCAAGTGCTATTAGTGCTGTAACTCTTGCCCTTTCCCTGTTCTTTGTAAAGTCCTGTTATTTGGCTGGGAAGAGGAGCCATAGGAGTGTGCCTGCCTCTGCCAAGGGAGCATTACCCAACTATCCAGCTGGGTGCCTGGTTAGCAGCCATGGGCTCAGCCTACAGGGAAGCCCAGTCTGATGAATGAGAGTGTAAGGACATGGGGCTGGTTGGGGTCATGGATCAGCTGGGACTTGTTGATGCCTCCTGCCTTTCCTGCCTTTGGTGGAGGATTTCAAAATAGTTTTCAAGCTTTAATTAGTTCCAGCCTGTCTCCTTGTCCCAGCAGTTTTCCGGATGGATAAACCAGGACCCAGAGAGGCTAATTGAACTTTGTATCCCTGTGGGTCTTACTGACTCCAGAGGAATTGGAATCATTCAACCCTCTTGGAAAATCAGGCAGCCAGTGACCCCCCTGAAGTCACACAGGGAGGAGGTGATGTGGCTTGGCATGTGCTCTGGTAATAGGGGCTCATGGCCTGGTGCTACCGCCTGGCATGTCCCCTGTCTCCCCCTGATAACTCCCACTGTTCTGCTTTGGGTGGGGAGGGGGGGGAGGTGAGCAGGGGGCCGAGGGAGCATATAGGCTAATAACGTAATTACATTAAGGCATAATGAAGGGAACTGATACGAGGGATTAATTACAAGCAAAATCCCAAATTAATTGTGAGGAGTACGTGTAGCTGGCTCTGCAGCGATGTTTTGCTAGTGTGCTGCTCCTGTGCCAGGCTGTGGCTGCGTGGCCTCGGGGGAATGCTAATAAGGGAGCAGGAGAGGAGTAGGTGGGTGACAACCTCTTGGTCATCTCATCTTCTCCACCTGGTGAATCTGTATCAGACCACAGTGGAACGTTGGCTATACAGCAGAGCCCTGCAGCAGGCAGGGGTTGGCAGGGAACTGGGCTGCCTTGCTCAGGGCCACCAGAGTGTGTGGGAGGGCCAGGAAGATAGTTTTTGTTGGGTTTGGGGTTTTTATTTTTCTTCATTCCCTCCTGCATGCTGGTTTGCTCCCTCTGATGGATAGCTAAAGCACAGCTGATAGCCTCTGGAGGGAAAGTGAGTCTGTCACGGGCTTGATTGCAAGAGAAAAGCTACGGAGGAAAAGTTTCCTTTATTAAAAAAAGTGACCTGTTATACTTGACTTGTGTTCGTGTTTGCAATGCAGCAACTCCTTTCTGATTGTGCTCAAGTGCAGCTCCTGGGAGATGATGAGAGGCTCAGCACCCTTGCTGCCTACTCCAAGTGCTCTGGGGTGCTCAGCACTCTGCAGGGTCAGACCTTGATGCAAAAGGACCCTTGCCAGCTTTGTGCTTGTGTATCTTGCACCAGCCTGCATTTCCTTCTGCATCATTGCCATCTAGAAAGCCTCAGCACCTGAAGCTCAGTTGACAGTCTCCAGATATTAAATTCCTGTCAGTTTTATAGCAGCAGAGACACTTAACAGATTAAAATAACTGTGTATCCTGCAAAAATTCAGATCCTGACAATTAAGGGATTGAAGTGGCAAAGCTGTCGGGAACAACAGAAAAAAAAAGCCAGTGCTTAATACCTGGGAAGCTTGTGTTGACTGGGACTTGAGACTTGGCAGGGGCATGGATAGGTCCAGGATGTGAGAGAAGGGAAAACTTCTGTCATGCTTTGCTGCTGAATTCCCACCCTGAAATCTCTAAGAGCAAACTCCGGCTTT